TTTTTTCCTTGTGGAAGAAAAATTGGCTACACATTAAAAAAAGCAAATAACAGGCCATCGTTAATGCAAACATTCCGCTTCCTTCTTGTAACACTGATAACAAAAGTATGGTTGGAATAATGCGCAAATGTTCATGTTAACAGTGATCGATTCTTCGCAGCTGTCCTATTCATTTAACTTACGGTGAGACAGGAATGAGTGTTTTAGCATAAATTGAAACATTGTTCATATGAGATGAGTGTTGCTAAGAAGGAACTTACTTCAGGTCTATTTCCCTCATCTGTTCCTCTATATTTTGGCGGTTCGAATGACTACTTTGTATTTCCCAGTCTCATCGATAGATAGGATACAATTCTACAAGGAAATGTGAGGCTTTGTATCACGTCTCGTATATTTCCTGCTCACATTCTGAATTCATCTCTTCTCTTTTGATGTTAGGAACAACCTTACGAATTTGACTGATACGTACCACGCAGTTTTGGCACCCAACACATCGAACATATCGTCCCCAGTTTTTAAATTGTACAGCATATAATCACAAATGTCGCATTTTCGTTTCTGATCTCGATCCTAATCTTCATCCTCCCATTATTACTTAAGAAACAGCAAAGTAGTTGGGAAACAGTTGTAAGAAGTGAACGTCCTCCGCTGATTGCACTCTTCCTTTCTCATTTCCACTTCCTAACGAGAAGGGAAGTAGTTAGCAAAATTTGCCAAATTCTTTCTCTAAGGCGCGTATCGTGAGAAAAATCAGTTGAGAATGAGCACTGCAATGAAAACAGAAAAATCTATCTAATGCTTAGAAAAATTCTTTAGACAAAAAACTAATTATCAACCAAGGAAAGTACTGTGAATTATTGGGCTGCATACTTCCTTGGCCTCAGTTTACTTAAACATCAAGAGAATAAGTTCCTCCTTCAACTGCAGAAAGCAGATGAAGTGGAAAGTGCTATCGGAGTTCTATGAAAATCATAAACACTGTTTCATGGATATCATCGTTGGAAAGATCATTTGTTTGCAACATTTTGGAATTTCAGATTAAAGAGATGACCGACTGGCTAAGCCCTAAGCACTCAATAATTTATTTGGGTATGTGTCCAGTAATAGGAGAGGTACCGTGCTTCCGTGAAAATAAAACAGGGTCTGGGCCATATATTATTTCCCCTCCAAAAAAAAAAAAGAAAAGGAAGAAAGTGTTAGGGTTTTCAGGGGAGATAAGTTTGGAGACTCGGAGCTGCCAGCCGGCACTCCTCGCAGGCGTACTAAACAGCGACAAAGCCTAGAAATGGCCAGCACGGAGTGGGGGTGGGCACGTGGTCTCATCCAGGGCTTGGCACGGTTGCGCCAGCAGTGGTGCTCCCTGCGACAAGGCTGGACTATCTTATTCCCGCGGGAGGGCTTATATTAAGCTCTTCCTCTAAAATGTCACTATTGCCTATTTTCAGTTGATTTATTTTCGGGGAAACACCACAGACCAATTAATGTCAGAAGAGACCGTTAGTTTTAATAGTGATATTTATTAGTATATGAAGTGCTATGTGACACTTTCTGTAGAATACATTTAATGTTCACATTTGATCCAAGCGCGTTCTGCTAGTTTTGAGACTGGTGTCTGCGACATTTATGTATCAGAATTCTTATGGAAGCCGAACAGAATAATGTCAGAGTGGCATCAAACCAAAAAAAACTTTAGTTGAAACTTTTGACTTATTAATTGAACTTAGAGATTATAATATGAAAAAGAAGGAACATAATCCTTAATAGCTCTCGCGGTCCAGATTTTAGTGTTCGCGGACCACTGATTGAGAATAACTATGGTAGAGTACGAGCAATCAGAAGTTTCTCGGGAAAAATCAATCGAGGACGCTTATAACCTCTTGTTTTTCCCCTTTAATTGCTATGCTTCCCATAACAATAAAAAATATGGAAAACCAAAAAATACGTTAATAAGTTATGCGATTTTAAGAAAAAAAAATGAAGTAAGACAGTTGAGGAAATATGAGAGAATGTTTGGAAAAAAAAGGTTTTGCCAAAAAAATTAAACTCCCGGAGTTTATTAGTATCATGGGAAATTCATTCCACTGAAAAAAAAAAAAAAAAAGTTAAACCTTCATCAGTTTACCTTTAAGTATTACAAACATAAGTACCAATATTCAAGTGAATTTTTCAAAAAGGATTGAAATTATAAAAGATGAATAGAATCAGCTGAATTGATGAATCTATAGTGAGACTGAAATTGCAGAAAGAATGACATGACGGTTTGCAAAAAACCGATGGAGTCTGACTAGCGTGAAGTAATTTCAAAATAATCACACTTTAAATTAGTTATTCTTAGTGTATCAATCTTTTCTAGTAATATCGATGTCGTCGTAATAGTCCAAAGATCTTTGATTGGTTGCCTTAAAACAATAATCTTGGTGTCTAATTCATTTAAATTCATTGATTTCTTATATGCCTGCATTCTTTTAATATACTTTATAATTCGTTTATATCCTTTAAACTGTATTACCTTGATCGAGTGACGACCGTGGATTCCATATAGGTAACAGCTCATCCTTCAAAAATGCAAATGAAGTTAGTCGAGAGTTTATGGTCGTAAGGTCGCTTATTTATTCACGTAAATAGCACGATTTTTTTTTTTCATCGTTGAAATAAGCAATTTTTACGACTAAAATAACATTTTCAGAGAGTATGTCAAGATTTTTTCTCGCAATGAGCAGTTGTGTACGTTTTCTGACTGTCCGAACCATATCTTAGTATTTATGGAATATTTTCTCATCCATTTTTTCAAAGCTCAAATACAATTTCGGAAAATTTTTTTCTAAATTTGCCAAAATGAACTATCTTGAGCAAGAGATTTACTCATGAGATTTGCTTAGTGAGTTAGATGGATTTTAAAAGTGTTCACAGTGTAATTAATTCAATCAACCTTTTTTT